AACAAGTCTGATAGTACAAGGTTGACGACACAAGGTTGTAACAATATTGTCATCTCATAACTGCATTGCACTAGTAATTGGAACAACCTTGCTACAAGTCTGATAATATCAACAAGGTTGTTATGACTGTTAAGAAGTTGTTCCATACTTGTTGACAACTTGGGACAAGCAGTGCGATCACAGCTTGTTGACGGCTTGTTGGCAAACTTGCTACAAGATGTGAGATTTTTGCCTGTGTAATTCAAACCAGTTCAATGGACTCTATATATTCCTCTATTGTTTTCTGAGCAGAGCTATAATAAACGGTTTCTAACGCTCAAGATAGAGGAAGCATTCAAGCATTGAACTAACGGTAGCAACTTTAGGGTTAGACATATTGCTTACCTTCTTGTTCATTGCACAAATCCCAACCCTGTCGATTTTCTCAACAAATTTGACATCTTCCTGCATCTCGTCGTGGATATTGAAATTTGCCATCGTGTCCGCACTTCACAAAACAATGCTCAGTTCAACGATACGTTACAAGAACTGTTCACAACTTCAGTTCACATATAATGACCTGCGAACTGCTTATTATTCAAGGAAAAGATAGAAATTGTGACAATATAAATGGTGGCTTGTAATTTTTGGCCATTTTGTTGGATCATTTCCGAATTTTAAAAAGGCCGCGAAGGTTGGCAGAAAACGCGGATACGGAAATGTGGAACTCGAAATTACAGATGCGGAAAAAGATAAGGGCTTATTAAAATTTCAGCAAATGTAAATAAAACTAATGTTATTCCGAAAAAATTATGCATGTGTACACTATACACAGACTACATAGAATATTATGTATTTAAGAATGAAAGCACTCTTGGAATGTGTTGTCGGAATTTACATGCACGAATTTACCAACACTGAAGAAACAAGAATTTCATACTACACTAAATTTAATCAAAGACAAAGACTTTAGTCAAAGACAAACACAAACTTACATTAAAACACACAAAATACCTTGGCATTTGCTCGTTTTGTGCTTATGGTGTCGTTTCAACGATACTCCCCTCAACAACCACAGTACAGTTCACGCCAGCAAGATCCGTCATTTGAGCACGGCCCCATATAATTAAACTTGGTAATCAAGTTATTAAGCGTGTACCCAATAAAAAGACGCTTGGTGTGATTTTAAATGAACATTTAACTTGGAAAAAGCATATCGTCGAACAAACAATATTGCTTTATTAAGGAGAGCTAAATCGTTTGTGCCTGAATATAATTTTAATAAAATGTATAATGCATTTGTAATTCCTAATTTATATCACTGTCCCACTGTTTGGAATGATGGCTACGAAAGTAAGCTTACAAAGCTATCTAAACTTCAAAAGAAAGCGGCACGTGTGATAACCGGCGCTTCATACGATGTACGGTCCAATGAAATATTTCGAAAACTTGATTGGATGCCAATCCATAAAAGCTTATCTATTCGATAAAATATTGTTACTTTTAAAACACTTACTGCTAATTCTCCGAATTATCTCACAGAAATGTTTAATTTCTGTTCAAAGGAAACGTACAACTGGAGAAGTAACTTTTGCCAACTTTCCCTTGAGAAACCTAACACAAATTTTCTCAAAAAAAGTTTCTCATATAGAGCGGCAAAATCTTGGAACAATCTCCCGGATAACATTAGACAAAACGTCGACAATATCACACTAAATGTTGCTAAATCTATGCTCATCAATCACTACAGAACCGATTAAGTCCCCTTGGGTTAATCAGTAATATCAGTAGTTTTTTACTATAATTAGAATAATTAGTTGTTTAATGTATTAGTATATATTATAGTGTGAAGCTGACCAGTATGTAGGCTTCAGTATTTTGTATTATAGAATTAGGTTAATATATGTTGGGTTTTTTTACGTGGTGTTTCCACAAACAAAAACAATTATATGTTGTTTTGTGTGTATGGCCCATTGAAAATCAGCGTAGCATGCTGAATGGCTACCGTGCTTAAAGAATTTTAAAGATTAAAGACTAAACTCAGCATGCTCTTCATTTTCCGCCATCCTTGATTGAGTAGTTGTTAAAAAAAAACACGTATAAAAAGGAACTCACGTGGTACAATTAAACCGACCAATCAGAAAGCAAGTTCACGAAAATTGTCTCTTAAAGTGTATTCATTCTTGCATATTCAATCATATCAGCCAAGCTAACCAGGAAACTCGCTGGAGCGAGACCTACATGCCCTTTTGTCAAACCATAAGGCCATATAAAATAAATTCCTTGATTCTCATCACCGCCCGACGATATTTTGGTTTCCGCGTTGATATATTTTTGTATTTTGTTATAAAATATAAATTTACCGCCCGACCGAGCATCTTCAGAGATTTAGTTATTTTTATATTTTATATTGGAATTTTTGCGATATAAAATTGTTTTATCGTTAATATTGCAACATGTTAAGGGATGCTTGGAATACTGAAGGAAAAAATGGGCTTATAGCCTTATTACAACGATTTGTGTGGACCCTTATGCATGTTCATTAGCGCATGTGCAATTATCCACTTATATAGCGTTCTTCTATAATATATTTAAGGGCAAATATAAAAAGACCTCCCTCTCCAATTTTTTAAATTTTAAACTTAATATTTTGACATAAAATATAAAATATAAACCTCCCGCCTCCTGGGAGTTTTTTAAAATTTAGCGATGAGAATCAAGGAATTTATTTTATATGGCCTAACTTGTTAATAACTTCCACGTTTGCCTGTCAATGCTCTTATAATTTACCTGAAAATCAGTTCAACGCACCACTAAATTGACCTGATACCAATTCGTAAAATGGTATCCATTGTAGTTTATTGAATAAGAATACTGAGGAAGTTCTCGGCTTTGCATCCATTATTACGTCCCTGAACGAGCCAACAGAGCTACAATCAAATCCAAAAATAATGAGACTTCTACACTTTTATCCTCTTTTTAAAGTTCTTGCCCTCCTCCCCATAGAGATTATAAATAACGCGTGTTTATGTTATAAATTTCTTTTTCAGACTGTTCATTAAATATCAGACTGTTCATTAATTCTTTTTCAGACTGTTCATTAAATAAGTAAGAACACTATTCCGAGTGCGGTTATAAACAATTTTTACTGAATAACAACACCGTCACTGACGAAGCCCTTGGCTCTGCATCCATTATTACGTCCCTGACCCTGAACGAGTCTGCAGGGCTACTATCAAGTCCAAAAATAATGCGACTTCTACATTTTAATCCTCTTTTTAAAGTTCTTGCCCTCCTCCCCATAGATATTATAAATGCCGGGTGTTTCCGTTATAAATTTCGCAATTCTTTTTCAGACTGTTCATTAAATAAGTAAGAACACTATTCCGAGTGCGGTTATAAACAATTTTTACTGAATAGCAACACCGTCACTGACGAAGCCCTTGGCTCTGCATCCATTATTACGTCCCTGACCCTGAACGAGTCTGCAGGGCTACTATCAAGTCCAAAAATAATGCGACTTCTACATTTTAATCCTCTTTTTAAAGTTCTTGCCCTCCTCCCCATAGATATTATAAATGCCGGGTGTTTCCGTTATAAATTTCGCAATTCTTTTTCAGACTGTTCATTAAATAAGTAAGAACACTATTCCGAGTGCGGTTATAAACAATTTTTACTGAATAGCAACACCGTCACTGACGAAGCCCTTGGCTCTGCATCCATTATTACGTCCCTGACCCTGAACGAGTCTGCAGGGCTACTATCAAGTCCAAAAATAATGCGACTTCTACATTTTAATCCTCTTTTTAAAGTTCTTGCCCTCCTCCCCATAGATATTATAAATGCCGGGTGTTTCCGTTATAAATTTCGCAATTCTTTTTCAGACTGTTCATTAAATAAGTAAGAACACTATTCCGAGTGCGGTTATAAACAATTTTTACTGAATAGCAACACCGTCACTGACGAAGCCCTTGGCTCTGCATCCATTATTACGTCCCTGACCCTGAACGAGTCTGCAGGGCTACTATCAAGTCCAAAAATAATGCGACTTCTACATTTTAATCCTCTTTTTAAAGTTCTTGCCCTCCTCCCCATAGATATTATAAATGCCGGGTGTTTCTGTTATGAATTTCGCAATTCTTTTTTAGACTGTTCATTAAATAAGTAAGAACTCTATTACGGATGCGGTTATAAACAATTTTTACTGAATAACAACACCGTCACTGACGCAGCTCTTGGCTCTGCGTCATTATTGCGTCCTTGAACGAGTTTACAGGGCTACAATCAAGTGCAAAAATACCGAGATCTTTACATTTTTATCCTTTTTTTAAAGTTCCTGCCCCCTCAATCGCAGACAATGTTGAGAATAAAATTGGGCTGACATTCAGGCTTTACGTCATATTTACAACATTTTTTTGGGGGGGGAGGCGGGGGGGGGGGGGGGGGGGGAATTTCGTTGTTGTCTCAATAAGTTTTACACATGACTGTAGGTGACAGGTACTGTATACGTTATGACTCGGCAAAACTAGTTCTAGAGAGATCAAATGAACGCAGAATTGAGTTTCTAAGTCGTGTTATACAAGAAATACCTGCTCTCCTGGAAATGGGATTCATCACCTCCCCCCCCCCCCCCCC